TGGGGGATATACTGCTAGGTGATTTGAGAAAAGATAAACTTGACCACGTTCAACCAACTTTTCTCAAGGGGAGGGGGAGGAGGCGGGCGGGTGCAGGTTCAACTGTGGTCTGCGTTTATTTGCGAGAATTAAGGATTGAACCTCAATAAAACCTTGAACCTGACTGGTTCGATGTAAATGACGACGATATGTCGACTAATTAAAAATTCAAACTAAGAGGTCAAGCCGACACCCAACATTAAGAGGACAAGTAAGACGGGCATATATTAAAACTGCTACTGCTGCTACCATCGGAACTGAAGCTTTGCTTGCTGCTGAAGAAGTTGACGGAACTCCGCTGCTTTCCCAATATCCCCACCTCCTCTATAATGACGTCACAAGACAGTCCAATATTTTCGAGGGTGGTAAGATGCCTTTAGCTACCCCAAAACATCTAGAACTGGGCCTAACCCCAACCCACATACGTCCCACGAATGCATGCATGCATGCATGAATGCAGATGTTGTCTCACGAGTGCATACAGCCTATCTACCACCCCATAAAATATTCGACTGTCTGCTTGGGGGGAGATAGTGAGATAGAACCCGGAAGTCATATGTTCAGAGTTTTGTGGTGTTAGTTCTCAACACAACTCGACTGAATTCAAGAGTACAAAGTGCACAATTATCAAACTGAATATACTGGACATGGAAATCACAGTGTCTTCAAAGCATGATCCTTTTAATTCCAGACAAACTGTAGAAAAGTTGGGGAGAAAAGGAAGGTGGGAGGGGTGACGATTGCACAATCACACAGGCACAGACATGAAAACGTATCATATTATATACATTCTATAAGTACAACGTTGACAACAGGTTAAAACAAGATAACATATTTCTATAACATTTAATGGGGGAGGGAAGAGGATATTTTTTTTTTACAGTGCATTATGCAAAGCAGTAATAGGAAGACATAACATATCAGATCAAGCAGAAAAAGACGGAACAGAAGAGTGCAGCAGACCGGAACATGCATTGAATTAACATGTGTTTCCTTTGAATGATAGCCCAAAGCAATCTGTGTTCATGACTGTCTAATACCAGCAAGGGAATGAAATAGAACCGCAGCTACGTTGGGAGAACAAGGAAGTAAAATAATGCAAACCATCATTACTATCATCATAGTCACTCTAATGTGCTGTTTTTCGTGACACATGACGGGCAGTCTGTGGTCTGTTAAGCTCTCTCTCTCTCTCTCTCTCTCTCTCTCTCTCTCTCTCTCGTTCTCTCTTTTTCTCTCTCTCTCTCGTTCTCTCTCTCTCTCTCTGTCTCTCTCGTAATAGTGTTTCAAAACAACTTCAATTCGTCAGTAACGCACTGGGCAAATGATGCCAGACTAACTGTATTATAGACCATTTGGTACTTGTTGGATGATGTGGTCACGGCTGCCTTTACTTCCCAGAACATCACCTAGTTACCCATTAGCTTGGTCGACTTGGGAGCCAAGGTCGATTTAAAAAGAAACAAAAATTGATCCAATGTGCGTTCGAACTAAGATCCTCGGGCTGACAGTCGAGCCTCTAGCCGCCAAACTTCAGTGACTCCTATATTATTTTCTATATGCTAATATTTCGATATTGTTTGTGTAGGTATGGCCAGATTTAGACTTTATGAACTAACGGTTGCATGGCTCCTGAGACATGAGGTATTACACAAATAACTGTTTTTCAGAAAGTCTACCGTCATGAAATAAAACACTATACATACTGAAATGCCTTTTAGTATATAACAGTTAGTTGTGCATCCTTTACAAGACGTCGCTGAACCAACCTCAGTATTTTTTTTGATTTTGTGATTTCGGTAGGCAAATATACGTTAAGTAGTTTGACACTGCCTGAACGGCCAGTTCTCGATACCACTGCTGTAACCAACGCAAAGCGGTCTACTGCCAAATTGCCCGTAGCTAAGATCGAACCCGGCACTACGAAATTTACAAAAATGATTTAATAACAAAATATATACAATTAAAAATACAATATATGTTCAAAATTATGGAAATATAAATGATACAACAATCAACTGGTTGCCTTGGTTGTCAGGTAGATTAATGGTGACGTATACAAAACAATGCAGGGAGTCGCCGTGGCGGAGCGGCTAAACGCTCGCCGGGGATCGGAAGATCGTGGGTGCGCTCCCTGGCGGAGCCGGACTTGAAAAAAAAAAAATGACCTTGGCTTCCAGCCTTGATGGGTACCGGGTGCAGTCCTGTGAAGTAAAAGCGGCCGGCGTGATGCTGACTGCATCACCCATCTTGTGCCGATTGGTCTATAAAATAAAGGTCTAGTCCTATACACGTAAAGGCGGCCGGCGTGATGCTGACCACATCACCCATCTTGTGCCGATTGGTCTATAAAATAAAGGTCTAGTCCTATACACGTAAAGGCGGCCGGCGTGATGCTGACCACATCACCCATCTTGTGCCGATTGGTCTATAAAATAAAGGTCTAGTCCTATACACGTAAAGGCGGCCGGCGTGATGCTGACCACATCACCCATCTTGTGCCGATTGGTCTATAAAATAAAGGTCTAGTCCTATACACGTAAAGGCGGCCGGCGTGATGCTGACCACATCACCCATCTTGTGCCGATTGGTCTATAAAATAAAGGTCTAGTCCTATACACGTAAAGTCGTGGGAAAGGGTCCTTTACTTACTGGGTGTTTTTTTAATACGAAACTGGAAAGCTAATTCAGTTCTACCTTTTCTATGTTCGTCGACACATCCAATTTTAACAAACCCTCAGTTAGTCGCCTTTTACGACATGCTTGTCTTCTTCTTCTTCGATCCTTCTGTCAGAAAACTTATATCAGGAGGCGGGTAGCCTTCATGAAAGCTATCGTGATTTTGGTGATCATGTGAAATGGAGGAAACATGACAGCCTACGCTTGCCAGCACGGGACATGATGATGGTGATGTTAGGCGACAGTGGGTCTATCCCTAACCCCCCCCCCCCCCCCCCTCCCCTCCCTTTTTTCCCTCCCGAAAAAGGGCCCCGAAACCAACGCGCGGGAAACCGATTCAGTAAAGTAGTAGTAGGAGAGGGAGGAAGGGCGGTGCGGGTGTAGTCTTCTTCTTCATCTTCTTCAAGTTTATGCCCTGTGGAGCTGGTAGTCATGTCTATCCACAACCTTCTGTCTCGTATACTTTCAATCAGCTTTGACACAGATGATCTTGCATGACATGATGTCAAACCGCCCAGCATCTGTTGAATGTTGAATAAGGAATCTACATCATAGAACTCGGGACACCCCTATAAGCGCTCCGTCCCAATCTTCAGCAGCAAACGAAGAGTTCTAATTTCGATGGCATCTATTCTTTCGGTCTCCCTCTGGGTGTAGTCTCCGAAACTCACATTCTGAAATTATTTTTCTCATCGGTGAATTTTTAACACAAACCTGTGCAAGATCTTACTCTGTTAGCAGGTTATACGTCACAACAATAATAACAGCAAATACTTATCAGTTTTTTTTTTTTTTTGCAAAAAGCGCGCCCTTCACAATACCATGCACTGGTAATATGACAAATGACATTTTCAGATAACAAAGACAGACAGACAAGTTACCCACTGATAGATAAGAAACTGTAACAGAACAGATAAGAAGACACTGGTGTCTTTTTTTTTTTTTTTTAGAGATAAGACCTAAAACTTAACAGTCGAAATCTAGAATTGGAAATTGGACAGATAAGACTCAATGAACTGGGGTCAAACAAAGTCATGTGAAGCCAGCAGGGAAAAGGTATCACAGTTTCATCCTTCCTGGCACTTGATGCCTAGGAACTCATGAGACTGAAATCCTGTCCATTGAGTTTCTAAAACATGCTGCATCTATATACCCTCTCTGCCACCCCTCTCTGCCACCCCCATTTCTGCCACCCCCTCTCTGCCACCCCCCTCTGCCATCCCCCTCTCTGCCACCCCCCCCCTCTGCCACCCTCCCCCTCTGTCACCCCCCCCCCCTCTCTCTCTCTCTTATACTTCTCTGACCCCTTTACCTCTGCGGTGTAGTTGCTAGACACTGGAATCGGGACCGAAGGTTGTAGGTTCAAAAACACATCCAGTCAGATATTTATTTTTCATAAATAACCTTGGCTCTCAGCTAGACCCACCCTGAAATGGGTACTAGGTAAAGACATTGACAGTAAAAGGGTGCGGGGGCGGCGTGATACTGTCCATATCACCCACTGAGTACCGATTTGTCTATAAATTATAGGTCTAGTCCTTTATGTCCAATACATCATAAGTAGTAGAAAATATTCCTTGACTTCACTTATTGCCCTACAGCAAGCAGGTTGTAAAAGGCGGCAACCCGTGCCGAAAGTTGCTGTTACCGTAACCTATAGTAAACCACAACGCAACGTCCCAACCGCCCTTGCAAAGAAAAAGAAAAAGAAAAAAAAGAAGAAGCAGAAATAGGAAGAGGAGGGGGAGCATGAGGAAGAGCAGGATGGAAGGAGGAGGTGAAGGTGGTGGAAGGGTCTTAACTCTTGAACTGCCATTGTCTTCACCCTCTCTGCATCCCCCTAGTTGTTTTGTTGTTGTTTTTTCCCTTTGACCACATCTGCCTTGTAATAATTAACGAATTTGCTAAAATTAAAGTTAGAAAGATAAAACTGTACAAGATTGTTGTAGTTGATATCATTATTTTAAAGTAATGTATATTTTTCAAAATGAAAATAAAACATATTTTTAGTGCATTTTTTAATTTAAAAAAAAAAAAGAAGAAGAGGAAGAAGAAGAAGAAGAATTAAACAACTGAAAAATCTTCTTCGTCTTCGTCTTCTCTTCCTCGTTCATGGCTTCCTGTATCGAGTAAGATTATGTTCTACTTTGATGCTCTTCTGACAGCCTCGGACATAGACACACACTGCTGTTGCAGAGTTGTCGATGTCTCATTTTCAATATGAATAATATGAGGTGTTGAAAAATCTACTTTTAACTTAAAGAAATTAAAATGACACTTACCCAATTCATGTTGGCTCGCAGAACGACAACAAAGACCACTAACGGAATACACCAGCCACCACAAACTGAAACTAAACACACCGAGTTCCCGTATAAAACATGAATACAAACAAGGAAGTGAAATAAGCAGTGGAAATAACAGTGTAGTTTCCCCTCGTCTCTTAGGTCACATGATGTCACCTACAGAAGAACTTACAGCTTTTTTTTTTTTTTACATAAACACATATACCTGCTTTATATAAGACCATTCAGATGCAAATTAAACACATTTGACCTATATTCAAACTCTGGTCTACTTCTTTCTATTTTTAAAACGCAAACGGACATTGCCCATGTTTCATTATTTTCAATGGAAAGCCATTAAGCGAAGCACTAAGGCTCTTAGTTGGCTGCTGTAAAAGGTCAGTTACTGCTAGTGTTAGTGAAGTCTAGTCTGCAGTCGCTGGAGAGGATGTGACTATAATCATCATCATCATCCTGGTGCTGTTATACATCACAAAGGGCTTGAAATGTAGTTCTCCTTTTAGTTTAATTAGTCTTAAGTAATCCTCTCGATGTCATGGACTGTACCAAGTCCAGATCATTTCGCTTCTCTTGAACAACGTTGGTTTCTAGATTTCTCTGGAACTTTTTCTGTCCCTAATTTATTTGTTTTTCTTTTTCGGAGCCTGTTTTTTTGCGTGATTATTTCTTTAGTTTCTGCTCATTGTGTTCTTAATATATTTCTATCATTTTTTTTTTTTTTTTCTTACAAGTAACGGTACAAGCTGTTGTGAGGACAATTTTCTTATTTATTCACCTTTCTTGAATTCATTCAGTTTTATGGTCATCTTTATTGTCTGTGCACTGCTAAAGAAAGTCTTTCTCCAACTGCACAAACGAAGTCGGAAAAGACTTTCTTTAGCATAGCAGACAAGAGCAGCATGAAAAACCTATGGTATATCACCAACAAGCAAGTTAGAGTAACAATTTTGAGATCATGCATCTTTCCCGTGGCAACTAATGGATGTGAGTCATGGACTCTCACCCCGCCTTTGAAAAGGCAAATCAGTTTTGGAACTGTAATGTTACAGAAAAATTCTTAGAATACCGTGCACAAGAAAAAGAAAAACGTCGACATCCTGCATGACCTGAACATCAAGGAGAATTGGCTCATAAACAGCATATTCTCCAGAAAGCTGAGGTACTTTTGACATATCTAAAAGCATGGCGGTATGGAGAGAACTATGATGGAGGTTGAAGTTTCCGGAAAATGAGACAGAGGGCGACCTCCATGAATGTAGACCCAAGACATCGAAGATGCATTAGCTATGAAAGCACAAAGTGCTTGAGAATTGGCTAGAGACTTTCAGGCGTGCCGTGAAGAGTGCTGCGAGATTTTATAAAGGACATGCTGATTGACTGATTTGAATGTTTATCAATTTCCTTAGGCGTTTGTTTTCCCAATGCATTTTACTTCGTTGTAAGTCTTTATTAGTTCTTCAACTTTCACTGGCATATATTAAAACTTAGGGGAAAAGATTGAATTACCATGCATAAATAGGTTGTAAAACTATGTAATTTAGAGTTACAAATTTCGTTCAAACTTTTGTCAATGCGATTCATAATTTATTTCTTTACAATCAAAAATGGCTACCTAAATACGTAAACCGGTCGTTACTCTAATTCTTTTTCTTTTCAGTGTGACGTCTGCTCAGTAAGTTATTCATGTCTTCGTCATAGATTGCTTTTTATAACAACTCATTTGTAATCCTTTTATGCTATATATATATATACTCAATCATCTCTTTTTCTGTGCATGCCGCCTCGGTTCTTACTTAGCAGAACAATATCCTCCGCAAAATCCAGAATCTGCAAACGTGTTTTTTCACCTAGCTGATGCCGATAAAAATGAGATTATGGCATGCGATAACTCTCCTTAAATTGTATGACATTTTAAGTCTTTTAGCCCTTATCTTGTCAGTAATCAAGGGTGATTGTTGCTTCTCATTCTTCATTTCCCAGTTTGCCTCTTTCATGGATCCAATGTCTCAAAAATATAGATTGAAGCAACATCTCTATTAGTAGTGCTCGAAGTTTCAGAGCTATATAAAACAACTGGTCTTATTTGTGGGATGCAATCTTTCGTTATTTTGAAGCTTTACCCTGGCTCTTGCCATGTGGCCGCAACATAGCCCGACCATAAATATGGTCTTATGGCTGGACCCGGTTTCTGGGACCTCTCCACAGGTGATCCTCATCCACATGGTGGCACTGGTGTCATCTGGTGTTTATCGCTTGTGTTATGTCTTGGTGGGGTAGAAAGTCAGTCAGCCATTAGCTTAGAATAAATTTTTATCTTGGTATTATGAGACAACGCCCGTGTGTCACCGGGGCCCTCACGGGAAGCAAAGAATAGTGACACTGCACCCTACCAGGCTTGTCGTAAGAGGCGACTAAGGGTAGGGTTGGGCTTGAGGTTGGCTACCTCATCCTGTAAAAACCATAGCCACAAAACACCAACCAACCATGGATAAGTCAAAAAGAGAAGCAAATAAAATCCAGCCAACCAAGATGAGGGGAGGCTCTTCAAATAGAAGAAGTATGACACGGTGTGGAGAAAGCCGTAAGGAGTCCGGATCGTTGACGTACCTCCTCTCAGCTAGGAAAACCTCCAGAATTGGCACCTGGAATGTTAGAACTCTTTATGATATAGGGAGAACAATGGAAGTTGCAAAGGAAATGAAACATTATAGAATTAGTATTTAAGGGTTATGTGAAACTAGATGGACTGGGGCAGGGAAAAGTATTCTAAATTCAGGAGAAACTATTTTTGTTCTCAGGACACACAGAGGGAAATTCGCCCAACAGTGAAGGAGTGGCCCCGATGCTATCGAAAGAAGCAGACAGGGCACTAATAGAATGGGAAGCTGTGAGTCCCAGAATAATAAGAGCATCTTTTAGAACAGTAAAACAGAAGGTGAACCTGTCGGTAATACAGTGTTATTCACCAACAAATGATAAAGATGCATCTGTTAAGGAAGAATTTTACATGCAGCTTCAAAATATTATAAACAATGAAAGAAAGGGCAACTTTAAAATTTTGATGGGTGACTTGAATGCTAAGATAGGATCAGACAGCAAAGGTTATGAAGAAATTATGGGGAGACAAGGTCTAGAGTAATGAATGAAAATGGAGAATTGTTCACAAATTTTTGTGCAGGTAACTAGTATGTTATTGGTGGAAGTATTTTTCCCCATAAAAGAATACACAAGGCAACATGGGAATCACCAGACCATAAGACAACTAATCAAATTGACCACATATGTATTAACAAAAAGTTTAGATTATCCCTTTACGATGTTAGGGCTTTCAGAGGTGCCGATGTATTTACTGACCATTTCCTGGTGGTAAGTAAAATCAAGTTGAAACTAAAAAGATATATAACATCTTATAATCATAGAAACCAATATAATGTAGGCTTTCTCGGAGATAAAGAAATTAAGAAACAGTTCTCAGTTACGGTCTCTAATAAGTACCAGGTGTTGCAGCAGTTAGCTGAAGATGTCAACACAGAAGTCTGCTGGGATCAGATCAAAGGAATCTGGAATGAATCTTGCGTAGAAGTTCTTGACAAGAAAGAAAGGAAACATAAAGCATGGATAACACTAGAAACCATTAAACTGATTGGAGATAGGAAAAGTAAAAAGGCAGAATTAAACAATAGCAAAACTATAGCTGCTAAAGCTAGAGCTCAGGAGAAATACACAGAAGCCAACAAGGAAGTTAGGAGGCATATAAGGGTAGATAAAGTGACATATCTAAATGATCTAGCACAAGGAGCGGAGACAGCAGCAGCAAAAGGAAACCTCAGAGAACTTTACAGTAACACAAGAAAAATAGTGGGTAAATATAGTCAGCCAACTGGATCAATCAAAAATAGTCAAGGAAAAATACTTACTAACACTAAAGATCAAATGGACAGATGGGTTGAATATTTTGAAATGCTTCTAAATAGACCAGGCCCAGGGGTTCCCCTAGATATCCAGCCTTTAGAAATGGAACTGGATATCAACTGTGAGATACCATCCAAAGAGGAAATTAGAAAAGCTATAAATCTTCTCAAGGAAGGAAAGGCGACAGGCCCAGATGGTATCCCAGCTGAAGCCATCAGGACCAACATAAACACATCAACAGAATTGCTACATAGATTATTCAGTAAAGTCTGGGAGACCGAAGAAATACCAGTAGACTGGAGAGAAGGATATCTTGTGAAACTGCCCAAAAAAGGTGATCTACAGGAGTGTGAAAACTATAGAGGAATTATGTTGCTGTCAGTTCCTGGAAAAATATTAAGTAGAATTATTTTGGAAAGATTAAAAGATGCTATTGAAAAATGCTAAGAGATGAGCAGGCAGTTTTTCGGTCAAACAGATCCTGTACTGATCAGATAGCGACATTACGTATTATAATAGAGCAAAGCATTGAACTGAACTCACCACTTAAGATTGGATTTATAGACTATGAAAAAGCATTTGACAGCATTTATAGGGAATCTCTCTGGAAATTGATGGGGCACTATGGAATCCCACAGAAAATTATCAACTTAGTAAAGGCAACATATAAAGACATGAAATGTCGTGTTCTTCATGAGGGAAAGCTAACAGATGCATTTGAAATAAAAACAGGTGTGCGACAGGAATGTCTTTTGTCGCCTCTCTTATTTTTACTGGCTATAGACTGGGCTATGAAAACAGTAACTGCTAACACCAAGAATGGAATTCAGTGGACCCCTACAAAACAGCTTGATGATCTTAGCTTCGCTGATGATATTGCTCTTCTGTCCCATTCACAGAATCAGATGCAAGATAAATTAAATATACTTAATGCGAGATCACAACAGCTTGGTCTGAAAATCCATAAAGGAAAGACAAAGATAATGAGAATAAATCAGTCAAATAGTAATGTGGTTTCTCTTAATGGCACCCCACTCCAAGACGTGGAGTCGTACACCTATTTAGGCAGTAAT